GCAGCCACAGAGGCCCTGCGCTGTGGTTCTCAGTCACAGTTTTATTCTGCGGTTTGTTTTCATTTAGTTTCTCTAAGTAGCTAAGTTAGCTAGCAAGCTACCTAGCAGCTGTTTAACAATTCAAGCGGGTCAGGTGATGCCTTCGTAAATCGTGTCCTCTGAAGACAACATAGACTGCAAAGGTTGAACCAAAATTGTACGGTTTGGTCTACGGTCTACTTTCTTTTGGGTTCGCGATGGGTTGGGCCAACAGTTGGATCCTTCATTGCCCCGGAAACTAGGGACGGCCTCGAGAAGGGAAAGCCTTGTCACGCCACTGAGACACAATCAGTCTTTGAATGCAGTGTTCGAAGGATCGCGACAGGATGTGAAGCTCTGTGATCGGATGTTTCTGACTGAACTGCACCTTCACCTGCTTCAGTTTTTATGTCTCAGGCTTCTTGTTCCTTTGACTTTTTATCTACAGTTGTTCGTGTTTTGTCCTGATGAAGCAGGAGAGCTGATAGTTGAACAGGACTTCTGTTGTGGGAACACTTGACGTTAGGACACTGTCACAACTCTGGAACTGTAGTTCCTCAAACATCTTACACAACCTTCACCCTGCTCTCCGCTCTGTTCGTACATGTCCTTTGAACCAGATTTTAAAAGTAGAACAGCTACTGTTTTTAATTAAAACTTCAGCTCCTCTCCTCTGAGAAAGGAAACCAGCCTGGATGATATCACGCTGGTCAGAAATCATAACCGTCTCACATCGTTATACAATAGCACCTCTGATGCTGCTGATACTGATTGGCTCCTGAAAATCTGCCTGGCAACAAGACTGTTTTGACTGAAGCTTCCATCACATGGAAAAGAGCCTTAGTGTTGCTGAGAAGCTGAGACACACAATAGACTCACATGAAGAGAAAGAACGAGGACGTTTAATGAGTCAAATCCCTGAAAACCCAAAAACAGACTGAAAAATACACAGAGATTATTTCAGCTAAGTCCAAAAAAATGAGTTAATTTTCCATCTGAAGTGATTTAACAGTGAACTGCACAGAGATTTAGTTTGATACCACTGGCTTAAAGTATTGTTTACATTTATATTTCATATCCATCTGTCCATCTCTCTGTTTATCTCTGTATCTGTGGTTGAAAACCTTCAATAAATGTTCTCCTTTGCTCCAGTTACATTTTTCCCCGAGACATTTTTTTCGCCCTTCTCATTTTACCAGCTGCATGCTGGGAGCTGGCCAAGCTGAATTCCTGGCTGCTGCAGCCTGGCCTACCTGTATACCTGCACACAGGTACGCTGCTCTCTGTGAGGGGTAACGTTACCGAACCGACCCTGAGCTCCGCCCGGCCCTCCACAATAACCAGGGCCTCAGAGGTGACAGAAAGAGGCTAATGCGAGGAGTCCTCCGGCGACGAGTCGCCTGCACGAGACAGAAACCTCGTATCTGTTTTTGGTGCAGATGCAAAGCAACGCTGAAACATTTCTTTGCTTTTCTGCAGAAAGACTTCTAACTGTTTTGTGAGGAATAATCTCAGAATATCACATTTATTCAGTATTAAATTAAGATAAAAAATTCAAATCTATCCACCCACGACCATCCATCCATTTTACACCAGCTGTCCAGCTCCAGGTTGTGTTGGCATCGGGCTCAGTGGACGTTTAGACTGAAAACAGCCCTGTGTCCAAAGTGTTGTTCAGGTACTAGTGTGACAGAAAATACAATTCGGAAAGTCCGGTCGAAGTAACAGATTGATGCATTTAAAAGCTAAACAGAGCCAAAACGCTGTACAGTGGTTTGGAATAGAAAGTGTTTTGTCAGTGGTCTGAGTAGCAGCTGTTTCTGTATTCACTGAAAACAAGAATGCACTTGTTCAAGTTGAAGTTAGGCTTTTTTTTAGAAAGTAGACATATGACCAAATATTAAATAGGAACGTGCATGTGAATATGTTTTTATTGGCCAATGCAGCACTTTACTGAATGATGAGCCAGGTTGAGCTTTTTTTCCAGATGACACTGCGACTTTTTGCCGCTCTCTCTTGGCGTCCTGAAGTCAGTTTGAACGCAGCCTTCCACAATAAACAGAACAAGGCCACGACAACAAAACTGGCATTACTGCTGACGCTGCACCAATCTGCCTGATGACCTCTTCTCTGTCTTGTCTCTCTTAAACAAGACCACATCATCTGCAAAGAAAACAGGCGCCACCATTCAGGCGCAGCCCAAAGGTCACTATTCAAGAAGTTTCAGTTTCATCTTTTTTAACCAATACAACTTAAATATTGCTACACAAAATATTTATTCATATTAATATCTTTCAGATTTATTTAAGAGCCGATTAGATTCTTTTATCTAAAAGATAAAAAAGATGAATATGAAAAGTAATAAGCTTTGATCGGGGAGAGATTCAGTCAGTATGAGCTCTGATCTCCGTCATAGACGCTGTGACAACATGAGGTTTGTTTTTACCCCCGGATCAACCCTCAAGACAACAATCTGACAACAAAACAACCGAAGGACTCGGTGACAGCACATGATATATGTGACATATATGTCAACTCATCTCAGATTCTGCACATCCTTTGTGTCACATCCTGTTTTGTCAAGTTTCGTCCTTCAGCTGAGTAGAGTCACGTTGACGGAGCTCTACTAACAAACAGGAGGCAGAGGAGATGTAAGGCCTGGTTTACGTTTCCAAGCTTTCAGAGTTAAACTTATTTTATTCTGTTTCTCATTTGACTCATTTATGTTCAAAACCCCCAGAGATGCTGCTCATCACAGCCTGAGCAGAGGACGTGAAGCCTTGACTCTGACTCCTGAATTCTCTTTAGCAAAGAGAAGAACCAATGAAACCCAAAGTGTCCTTTTTATTCCACATATTCTTCTTCCTTGTCAAAACCTGCCGCCTACATTACCCACAGTGCAACTAAACTACCAGCTGTTCAGTTGGAAATCAGTCATGCTATTAGCGGCTAATACAGCCTGAAGCCTTAGCAGCTAAGCTAGCAGGACAGTGACTTAAAATCTTTCTTTGCAGTTTATGTGAAAATTAATTGTGTTTTTTTTATTTAAATGTTTTACTGTCAATTATTTCATTTAATGTTTGTATGTTGTTGAATGGAGCAAAAGAAGAAGAGTGTGAACTGCCCCAACCGATCCCTGCCACTGCTTTGTTGATTTATGAGTCAAGTTGGTGTAAATTAACTTTTCTTTGCTTCTTGTCTTATTAATATACTCACATGTCCAAGTCATGTAGTTAGTGAAGATATTATCTTTAGCTATTATCTAAGCCATGCTGAGTTAATGTATTCAACATATCATGCTCAACCTGTGCTCAGTGTGATCCATAAAAACTCTTTTACCATTTGTACTTTTTTGTTTTAACTTCATGTTTTTTTGTAATACTATAATATGTATCATTTATTACTCATCTTACACGCTAAATATTATATTTTTATCTATTTTGTCATGTTTTCGGCTTTTTTGATATAGTAAAGAGGGAAGTGTAGTTTGCTGACTTGCTATGACTTGACCTTTCTTCACAGTAGCATTCAGTGTGATATATCAAATATGTGCAAGGATGTGTGAACTGTATTTCACCCTTGAAATTAAGAATCATTACCTTTGTCTCTCTCTCTCTGGGTGACACTTTCGCGTTCATGTCAATGTTAAATATTTATTAATCTCTTTAATCGTCCGTACTGAAAAAATGAAGCATGTTCCTTGATTAACTTTCCATCAATGACTCAATTGAACTTCATGTCGCCTTTCACACGTTGGTTCAGTTCAGAGTGACGAACAGATGTTTGGTGATTAGACAGTTTGTGGTGCTGATGAGAGGGGAGATTAAAAGTGATGAAAAGTAGCAAAATGATTTAAAAAAAGTTAAATAAATAAATAAAATAAAACTAGATGGAAAAGATAAAATGATGAATAAAACCAATAAGGGGGGAAGAGAAGATTTTAAACCTTAATACAATAAAATAAATTATTATAAGGCAGGTTTTAAGTTTTAAATCTGCTTCACTGCAGCACTTTAGAAGTTTTCACAAGTTTAACAAAGTTAAACAATCATTTTTTTGCCTCTCAAAATTAGCTACAGCTCCCATGAACCTTTACCAGGTATTTACACCATCATAACTTGATTTGTCCATATTCGTAACAATCAGTGCCTCTGTCTGATTCTTCTTGTTGTCATTACAGACACATCCAGCTGTGACGTTCAGCCTGTGAACGTCCGGCGGAAAATACAAATGAAAATAAAATTACCTGTTACTGTTAAACTGTAGAGTTAGTGACGTTCAGGGGCTGCAGTTTTTTTTTGTTATTTGTTTTATTAAAAATATCAATGAGACTGAGAATGAGTTTCATTCTTAATAACCATCATTAATGAATGTTTCTTAGTTTATGAATTAACCAGCAGAGTGAGTGGACTGAGCGTCTGTGGTTGTAGCTCAGGAAATTATTTTCCTTTACTCTTTCTTTTCTCTGGTTTGATGTTTGTTTGTGTGTCACTCTGTGACACAGTCATGGGCTGGTACTGTCAGTGTCTGTCAGTTCAGTCTGTCCTGTTAGAGTTTGTTTCGTGTTTGTTTTCATTTCTCTTGAAAAGAAAAAAGCAAATAAATATTAAAATACATAAAAGTTCCAGTTTGATGTTGTAAAAGTTTTATTTGAACATGGACATCATCATCATCATCATCATCATCAGAGGATGTTGGTGAGTCATTGTTTTCAGTCTTTCCTCAGTTCGTTCTCCCTCTCTCTCTCTCTCTCTCTCCCCCCCTCCCTCCCTCATCGCGCCCCCCCCTCCCTCTCTCTCTCTCTCTCCCAGGTCACCTGTCCACTGAAGCCCTCCCATGTCCTCCTCTGATTGTCATGGCTGTAAGGTGTGTGTGTGTGTGTGTGTGTGTGTGTGTGTGTGTGAGAAAAGAGAGAGAGAGAGAGAGAGAGAGAGCTTATTTAAAGGGCTGCCTCTCTCTCGCTGGGCGATCGACACCGGCTCAGCATCATCAGCTTACCGCCTGCTGCTGCTTCCAGGGAATAAACTCTGAACAGTCTCAACAATTTTCCTCAGAGACGTCTGTGAAGAAACAGTCAGTAAGACTGAGTTTACTGATTTCTTTGATCCTGACTGACTGGCCGTCTGACTGTTTTTGTGACTGACAAACAACTTTTTTGTTTTACTGGCTGATTTACAACCAACCAGAGGGACTTTACTGACTGGTTCACTAACTGGCTGATTAGTTTACTGACCGACCATTTACAGGACAACTATTTACATATTATTTACCTGATTATATTGTGCAAACTGGTTTATAAACTGGCTGAATTGTTTACTGACTGGTCGACTGGTTTACATGTTTACTGATTTACTTTGCTTGTCTTTTAACTGGTCAAATGACAGGATTACTAACCAGCTGTTTATTCTACTCGACTGACTGTTTTTTTACTTCTTACTGACCTTCTTAACTAGTTACTAGTTATGTCTGGTTTTCAGGCAGGTTTACTGACTGGTTTACAGAGTTAAAAGTTTATTTAATGAGTCGAACTTTACTGGTTGACTGACCTAGTTTGAGTGTCCACTGGCTGGTTTACTGACTAGTTCACCCATTACTTAAGTAGTGTGCTGACTTGGTAACTGGTTTACTGTTTACTTGTTGACTGGTTTTGTTCAGTTATCATGTGTATTAACTCAGTAAATGACAGGTCCGATTGTGATTGTTTCACTGACTTGCTGACTGCTTTACGTATTTTTTACTGACTGACTCTGTTAACTGGCTTACTGAGAAAGTTTAAGGCTAACCGCCTGGTTTACTGAGATAACTACTGACCTTTAACTCATTCTTTACTAGATAACTAGATAACTTATCTTATTGAACTGTTTGACTGTTTTTTACATTTCAATCATGTCTCATGTATATGAACAATTTTACTGCTTTGACTAGTTGTTTTTTATTTTACAAATTAACTGTTAATCAGGTGACTTACTGACTGTTTCAGTGCCTTATTGGCTGCCTATAGTGCCAGGCTTAAAAATGTTGGCTAACCTAGTGACTAATGTCAGTTTACACACTGTTTACCACTTTTTTACTTAATTTGTCTGTTAACTTGTTTACTGACTGGTTTACCCCTTAACTAACAATTCTAGGGATTAACTGTTGACTGAACGAGGCTAGTCACTTTTTACTAGTTGATTGACGTAAGTTTTTACTACCTGTTCACCAGTCAACAGGTAGTAAACACTTATATACTTAATACTCATGAATTGGTTGGAGTTTTTACTGGGTGACTGGTTTACTGCCTCACTTATTTGATTTGTGATTGGTTCACTAACTGTCTGAACTGGTTTACTGACTGATCTATAACCGTTTGAGTCATTGACTTTGTTAACTGGTTTACTGACTGGCTTGCTGATTTTTTTTTTTTTTTACAATACGATCATGTCTCACGGACATGAATTGGCTGACTGCCTGGTTGGTTAGTTTGTTTACAAATTACATGTTTATTAACTGGCTGGTCAGGTTTAAAACACTGGCTAATTTAGTGAGTGTTCACTGATTGTTTACTTTCTTTACCGTTTAGTTCATAGTCATGAAACATGCAATGTATGATGCGGTTTACTGACTGGTTCACTCATCAACCTGCAGGTTTAGCAACTGGCAGTTTATAGTTGACAGATTTATTGAGTGACTTTATAACTTGACTAATCTGCTTATTCTTAACTAGCTGATTTGGTCTTGTTTAACCTATTTCTTGACTGGTTTACTGACTGATGTATATATTGACTAACAATCAAGTTTTGTAACTAGTTGTTAATGGCTGGTTCATTGAGTCACCTGTTGACCTCCTACTCATTCTGCACTAGTTGACTGAGTTAACTATCCACTGATCTATCGTGTCCCGATGAAGAGGTTAATCTACAGTTTGCATGCTCAGTAGTGTCGTGTGTTTACTAACTGGTTCTGACTGGAACTGACAGTGTTATCATGTGTTAAGTACACAGGCAGATGTATTGACAAATTTACTGACTGTTTTTGTTGTCTGTGTTTCAGGTGCAGAAATGTCTCTGCTGTCTGTCCTGCTGCCTCTGACAGGTACACCGCTCTATTCTATTCTATTCTATTCTATTCTGTTCTATTCTGTCTACTTCATGATCTACTGATAGTCTACTAAAGTCATTTCTTTCTTTCTTTCTTACTTTCTTTGTTGTTTACTTTCTTTCTTTCTCTCAGTATTATGTATTTGATAACATGTTAATGTAATGTCTCTTTCTTTCTTTCTTGTTTTCATTCTTTCTTCTCTCTTTTTTTCCTCCCTCTCACTCAGTATTGTGTATTTGATGGCAGGTTAATGTGATCTCTCTCTTTGTCTTCAGGCCTTTTCTTCTTGATCTCTTCATCGTTTGGCTCAGAGTCCAGTGGTCAGTCCTGAATGTTACATGTCTGTTTGTCTCTTTCTCTTTGTTTGTATTTGTTCCTCTAGTTGTTGTTTTTTAATCAGTCTCTGTTGATACTCGTGGTTTTGATTCAGATTAACAGTAAGTGTGAGCAACTGAACTGACTGTAAACACACCTTAAAACATGGAGGAGGATTTAAACATAGAGTGTGTGTGTCTGTGTGTCTGTCACTGTGAGGACCAATGTTAGTTTTAGTCTTTATGAGGACATTTTTGAGAGGTGATTTTCGTCCAGTTCTCTCTCCTTCATAGAGGCGTCTGTGGGTTTGGATTTGGTTTGAGAGTAAAAGTCTGATTTAACTTTTTTTGTCCAGAGTTACAAAAACATCTGGGTAATGGATTACGTCAGTAAGGGTCCTCACAAGTACTGTAAAAATGAGTGTGCGTCAGGGTTTGTGAGGACCTGCTGCTGTATCACTTTACTGATCCAGGATCTGTGTGGAATCAGAGAAAGACAATATGATCTCAAAAACTGAGACCAAAGACACAACACTATCAGTCCTGTGAGCGCCCCTTAGAGGCTGAAACGTCCATTACATAATGAAGTAATGTAGAAAAACGGACAACGTTCAGTGCTTAGGACTGGTCACACCAGACAGTGGCTGTAGTTGTGTGGTTGTGGCTAGTTTCATGCAGCAAGATTAAAATTCTAATTTAATTTGTTAAATTAAATTAAATTATTAAATTAAACTTAAGTGGTTGCACATTATATGACAAGCACCAGGAGTTTATCCACCTTTGTTTTTCCCCTGGCCTAAATTTTTCAACCTCGCCCTCGACCATCATTGGAGACGTAGCTTGTAATTGACTCCTGGTTTTTATTTGAGTAAAAACAATAATTTCACATCATCAGGCCTCTAAAAGTTTTCAAATAAAACAATCTGAGAGCCATAATCAGATGTTTGTCTGGAGGGTGGAGCGAGATGAAGGGTTGATCTTCAGGGTGGAAGTACAAAGTACAGGAAAGTTGATGTATTTGTTCATGTCATTTGTGTTTGAGCCTGAGTAACTCAACTGAGTTAATGTGATATAAACATGAACAGAAACACACATGTTGCTAGGATAATAATGTGTTTCCTGCCAATGGAAAACTTGTGTGTGCGTCGTCGTCTCTTCTTCTTCTTCTCTTCACTGTGATGAATTGTTTTCAGAGGTTTTTAAACAGTCCCTCAGTGTCTGTGGACAGATGGAGGTAACTTTAAACCTCCCTGTATGACTTGTTGTTGATCCTCAGAACTATTTTTTCCCGTGTTTATATTGAGCCTGAATCATGAAAATGTCTGAAATTTAAACTAAGCGCCCGTCCGTTCTTTCTAATAGATGAAACAGATGAAAAGCTCCTTTTATCCTCTGTCAGTCCTTTCAAAGAGCAGATTTGTTTTTCTGACTGTATTTCAATGAATAACTGACTCTCATGAATAGTATTATGTAACACTGAACTCTTTTTATACCCTGACGTCAATTATGTTGCTTTTTTGACTGATCGTTTTAACTGTGACAAATTAAAGGTCTTAAAAACCAGGTGATGACATCATTACCATGGTAATAACATACTTTTGTTTTTCACCATCAATTTAAGTTTTGCTGATTTTCACCACTAGAATATTTGTGTTTTGGTTGCATCTAAAATATTGTAAAGAATATTTTTGTTGTGTTTTTTGCACTAATCTAAGCAGCAAATTACAAAGCAGCACAGATACTGTGGTGATAATATAATAATAAAATATAATATAATATTTAAGTGTTTTTTTTGCATAGAAACAACCCAAATTTTCTAGGTTGTTGCATATGAAAATCAAGTAAATAGGGAGCAAAAGTTCCTGTACAGCAAAACCACATTATAAAATACATTTTATTTCAGTAAAAAAAATTCTAATTTAAATCTAATTCATAAAATATATTTAAATTCGTCTGATAAAATAAATTTAAATTTAAATTTGTTTGTTTTATGAATGTAAACAACTCATTTTGATTTTTAATTTATCTTACCAATTTAAATCACTTTAATCACTAATGTACTATAGAAGGAAAAACATAAATAAAACTAAAGAAGGATGAACAGGAAGAAATTAATATGTTTACATGTTTTTGCAGTTTACATCATGAATATTAACAAATGTTGAAGGAATAGTTCAACATTTTGAGAAAGTATTGAGAGTATTCCTGAAATGTTGATGTCACTTTTTGATCAGTACCCTACCCCATCACCTGCGTGACCCGTGGAGCCGACCTGATGGACGACGCTGTGGTGGTGTTATGTCCTCCAGACTGCACCCAGTGGAGGGTGTCAGTGTTCGGGACGGGAATCTACGCCTCCGTCTCCTCCGTCTGTGGAGCTGCTGTGCACAGGTAGGACTTAAAGTTTTTTGTTTTCTTTTAAGTTATTTTTTGGACTTTTTGTGCCTTTAATGGACAGGACAGTAGAGAGACAGGAAATGGGGAGGCAGAGAGAGGGGGAATGACAAGCAGGAAAGCGCCGTCAGATGCGGGAGTCGAGCCGGGGGCCAGCTGCAGCAAGGACTGTAGCCTCTATATATGGGGCGCCTGCGTAACCCACTGCGCTACGCGACGCCTGGACTTAAAGTTTTTCACCTCATTTCTTTCTTTGTCTTTCTTTCTTTGTATCAGATGATTTTTAAACAAAGGCAAAAAAAAACTGGAGAAAACCAGCGAGAGGTTGTTGATGTAAAGTGTCAGTCACAAGTCTGAGCAGTGCAGGTGCACACTCGTGTACTTCAAATCATACAGCGAGGATTTGTCTCAGGACTGCATTCAAAAATAACACTGATTACATTGTGCATTGGTCTTAATCAGTTTGCCAGATGATCAATATTAAGAGAAGTGATCAACCAATGAAATTCCAGATTATTTTAGAACCTGGATTTTATCATCATATCAACATTTTGGTCATTCTGACAACTGGTCCTGCGAACTTTAGATTCAGGAAGTAAAAATCATTCAGCAGGTTTCCCTGTGTGTAGATCCCCCCGCACTCAGCTACAGCAGTAAATCTAGGGGTGAGTTTCTGTGTTTGCTTTGATGTACTAACTAACTAACTAACTGAAGGTTTCAGTGGTTTCCCTGAGTGAGTCCACCTCTCTGAATTAATGCTGCAGAGCTAACGAGAGCAAAGTTAACCTGACCTGAAGTCAGTTCACAGCAATGAGAGAAAGAGCCAAATGTTTCTGTTGGACGTCTGAGAAAAGCAGCAGCCGAGCGTTTTCAAAGTCCGTCAGAGTGAAGCCATCCAATCGAAGCGGGCGTCTCTTGGTGCTGATTGGCTGAGGTTCAGTTTGTCGGACGGAGTGGATGAAGATGTAGAGAGGGCTGAGGCGGAGTCAGCAGTGTTTCTGGTGCACTGGGTGTAGATTTACACACACGTGGATCAGACACTCAGTTCTGCTACCGGCAGCAGCTGAAGACGTGACATAATAATGAGCCGCGTGAGTCGTGCTGTCTGCTGGAGCTCGACAACACAGCAACACCATGAGGGAATGTGCAGGAATGAGGGATTAAGCTCTCAACCCTGAATGACCTCCTCCTTCCTCTACAGAGGGCCTCCAGGGGCCCCGAGAGGAAAAACACAGGCACCAGCTCTGCTTCCTCAGGATCCTCCCTTCACTCCTTCAGACCTCATCTTCCTGTCATTTGTCTATTTTATGTTTTTTATGAGACTCCTTGTCGGGAATCCTCCTTTTTTCAAAACTATGTTTGTTCATTTTAGATAAACAAGACAAACGTTTACTGAAAACCTCCTTCACATCCTCAGTAACTGCTGCCTTGAAGGTTCCCAAGAAGCACAGTGGCCTCCATCATTCTTGAATGGAACGAGGTTTGAAACAACCTGATGGTCGGTCTGAGCTCCAGAGATCCTGAGTGGAGATGGAGAAACTTCCACCCAATTCTATAATGCTTAGAACTGAAGCCCAACAGTTCAGTCCTGGTCTCATCAGACCAGAGGATCTGGTTCCTCTCAGTCTCAGAGTCCTTTAGCTGCTTTCCTTCGAGGAGAGGCTTCATCTGCCGTGATGATCGTCCTTCTGGAGCTCAGCCAGAGTCATCAGCTAATAAGTGCAGCTCCAGAGCAGCGGCTGGTTTTTGGGTGCAGAGGAAATAATGAAACTGACATGTACTGTGGGGGTCAATGAGGGCTGACCAGCAAATTTTTGCCCCGGGGCCCCTCAGGAGGTTAATCCGGCCATGATCTTAGTGAGCACAGTGTTATTAAAACAACGGCCTGAACTCTGAAATAAATGGATTTAAAAAAACAGCATGATCCTGTAACTGACTGACAAGAGTCAGCTGACCGTGCCGTCTCTTCTTCCCTGCTTTAAAGTTTAAAGTTTGATGTTTTTGAGTTGTGTCTCTGGTCCACAGGGGGGTCCTGGGTCCGTCCGGAGGCCCTGTCAGGGTCCACAGACTGCAGGGACAACACAGCTACATGAGCTCCTACGCCCACGGGATCCAATCACAGGCCCTGTCCCAGTGGACCACCTCCTTCAGGCTCACCAGTAGGTGGAGCCACACTGTTGATCCACTGATCGGTCTGTTGATTGATCAGAAGGGGTGTGGATCCATCGTTAGAGCTGATGTCACTGGTCAAATGTCTTCAAACTATTCATCAAGTCCAGAAAAAACTAGTCAATCAGCTGAGGAGTCAATTGACAAAAAAATCTATTTTGATAATTGATTAGTTGTTTAAGGATTTTAAAAAGCAAAATATTATGATAATGTTGTATTTATTATATAATTATTTAATTATTTAAAAAGCAAAGTATGTGGAAAAAAACGTAGGGTCATAAACTGATGCATTATCTATAATAAAGTGTGTGTGTGTGTGTGTGTGTGTGTGTGTGTGTGTGTGTGTGTGTGTGTGTGTGTGTGTGTGTTACCAGAGCCTGTTAATGTTCCATTAGAGCTGACCAGTGACACCAGCACCACAGCTCTGCCTGCAGCTGCACAACCAGGTAACTCACACACACACAGTCAAACAAGACATTAAGCTAGCAGGAAGTGGTGATGTGTATCACGTCTTTTCAGAATAAATGTCACAGGGATTTTTCTCCACATCAGTCTGACTGTACAGGAGGTTATAATGTTGTTGTAATTTTGTTCTGGCTGAAGCTTCTAGATACAACAGGAGAATGATGTTTGCACCAGACAGACTGTTGTCACCTCAGCTGAACTCTGTGTGTGTGTGTGTTGCAGCAAAGAAAACACTGAAGAAGCCCTCAGTGAAGAAAGCTCTGCAAGGCGGAAATAAAGGTACAATTGAGACAAGTACAAACGTTTGGCCAAATCACTTTTTTATATATTTCTTCAAATGTTTGGGCTCTGTTACTTTTTATTTCATTAACTTAAAAATAGAAACCAATTCAATGTGCAAAAGCTTTGACACTAACTTCCTTTAAATCAGTGAGACTCTGTTGGCTGATGTTAAGTCAGTCAGGAACAGAAAGACTGTCAGCTGCTACACAGTGTTTCTGCTCAAATACTTTGTGTAGTTTTGTTACAGCCTTGTTTTATATACATATATATAAAACAACATTATTAAAAACATAGAATCAGGAAATGTGACAGTGAAAATATCGACTTGTGTTCAGACTGTCAGATGGACATCGCCATGGTCATGGACAGCAGCAACAACATCGGGCAGCGACGGTTCAACCTGCAGAAGAACTTTGTCACCAAACTTGCCGCCATGTTGAGAGTCGGACCAACAGGACCACATGTAGGCCTGATACAGGCCAGGTCAGACACACATTAACACACACACACACAACCATTTTAACATTTTAATGGCTTACTATACACTGTGACGTTTTTTGACGTTTTTAATCCATATTATACTATGACTTTTTTTGACGTTTTTATGCCTTACTATGCTATGAAGTTTTTTTGCCATACTTTACTGTGATGTTTTTTGACATTTTTATGCCATACTACTACAATGACGTTTTTTGACATTTTTATGTCATATTATACTATGACGTTTTTATGCCTTTCTATGCTATGATGTTTTTTGACGTTTTTATGCCATACTTATACTATGACGTTTTATACCTTACTATGCTACGAAGTTTTTTGACGTTTTTTTGCCATGCTATACTATGACGTTTTTTATGCCTTACTATGTTATGACGTTTTTTATGCCATACTTATACCATGACAATTTTATGTCTTACTATGCTACAAAGTTTTTTGACGTTTTTATGCCATACTATACTATGATGTTTTTTGACGTTTTTATGCCATACTTATACCTTGATGTTTTTTGACGTTTTTATGCCTTACTATATTATGATGTTTTTTGACATTTATATGACATATTATACTATGACGTTTTTATGCCTTACTATGCTATGACGTTTTTTATGCCATACTTATACTATGACAATTTTGTATCTTACTATACTATGATGTTTTTTGACGTTTTTATGCCATATTATACTATGACGTTTTTTTGACATTTTTATGTCATATTATACTATGACGTTTTTATGCCTTACTATGCTATGAAGTTTTTTGTGCCATATTGTACTATGACGTTTTTTGACGTTTTTATGCCTTACTATGCTATGAAGTTTTTTGTGCCATACTTTACTGTGATGTTTTTTGACATTTTTATGCCATACTACTACAATGACGTTTTTTGACATTTTTATGTCATATTATACTATGACGTTTTTATGCCTTTCTATGCTATGATGTTTTTTGACGTTTTTATGCCATACTTATACTATGACGTTTTATACCTTACTATGCTACGAAGTTTTTTGACGTTTTTTTGCCATGCTATACTATGACGTTTTTTATGCCTTACTATGTTATGACGTTTTTTATGCCATACTTATACCATGACAATTTTATGTCTTACTATGCTACAAAGTTTTTTGACGTTTTTATGCCATACTATACTATGATGTTTTTTGACGTTTTTATGCCATACTTATACCTTGATGTTTTTTGACGTTTTTATGCCTTACTATATTATGATGTTTTTTGACATTTATATGACATATTATACTATGACGTTTTTATGCCTTACTATGCTATGACGTTTTTTATGCCATACTTATACTATGACAATTTTGTATCTTACTATACTATGATGTTTTTTGACGTTTTTATGCCATATTATACTATGACGTTTTTTTGACATTTTTATGTCATATTATACTATGACGTTTTTATGCCTTACTATGCTATGAAGTTTTTTGTGCCATATTGTACTATGACGTTTTTTGACGTTTTTATGCCTTACTATACTATGACGTTTTTATGTCTTACTATGCTATGAAGTTTTTTGACGTTTTTATGCCATACTATACTATGATGTTTTTTGATGTTTTTATGCCATACTATATTATGATATTTTTTGACATTTTTATGACATATTATACTATGAGGTTTTTTGACGTTTTTATGCCTTACTATACTATAACGTTTTTTATGCCATACTTATACTATGACAATTTTATGTCTTACTATGCTACGAAGTTTTTTGATGTTTTTTTGCCATACTACACTATGATGTTTTTTGACATTTTTATGCCATACTATACTATGATGTTTTTTGACGTTTTTATGCCATACTTATACCTTGATGTTTTTTGACGTTTTTATGCCTTACTATACTATGACGTTTTTATGTCTTACTATGCTACAAAGTTTTTTGACGTTTTTTTACCATACTTATACTATGAAGTTTTTTACATTTTTATGCCATACTATACTATGATGTTTTTTGACGTTTTTATGCCATACTATACTATGACATTTTTATGTCTTTCTATGCTATAAAGTTTTTTTACGTTTTTTTGCCATACTATACTATGATGTTTTTTTGCCATACTATACTATGACGTTTTTATGCCTTACTGTACTATGACATTTTTATGTCTTACTATCCTATTTAGTTTTTTGACGTTTTTATGCCATACTTCTACCATGACGTTTTTTGACGTTTTTATGCCTTACTATACTGTAACGTTTTTTATGCCATACTTATACTATGACATTTGTGTCTTACTATACTATGATGTTTTTTATGCCATACTTATACTATGATGTTTTTTGATGTTTTTATGCCTTACTATACTATGATGTTTTTTGACATTTTTATGACATAGTATACTATGACGTTTTTATGCCTTACTATGCTATGACGTTTTTTCTGCCATACTTATACTATGACAATTTTGTGTCTTACTATGGTATGAAGTTTTTTGACGTTTTTTTGCCATATACTATGACGTTTTTTGCCATTTTTTTGCCATACTATACTATGACGTTTTTTCTGCCATACTTATACTATGACATTTGTGTCTTACTATACTATGATGTTTTTTGACATTTTCATGACATAGTATACTATGATGTTTTTATGCCTTATTATGCTATGACGTTTTTTCTGCCATACTTATACTATGACATTTGTGTCTTACTATACTATGATGTTTTTTATGCCATACTTATACTATGACGTTTTTTTATGTTTTTTTGCCATACTATACTATGATGTTTTTTTGCCATACTATACCATGAAGTTTTTTACATTTTTATGCCATACTAATTCTATGATGTTTTTTGACATTTTTATGACATAGTATACTATGACGTTTTTATGCCTTACTATGCTATGATGTTTTTTGATGTTTTTATGCCATACTTATACGGTGACGTTTTTTGACATTTTTATGCCTTACTATACTATAATGTTTTTTGACGTTTTTATGCCATACTATACTATGACGTTTTTATGCCTTACTATACTATCACGTTTTTTGTGCCTTAATATACTATGATGTTTTTTGACATTTTTATGACATAGTATACTATGACATTTTTATGCCTTACTATCCTATGATGTTTTTTGTGCCATACTATACTATGACGTTTTTATGCCTTACTGTACTATGACATTTTTATGTCTTACTATCCTATTTAGTTTTTTGACGGTTTTTTGCCATACTATACTATGATGTTTTTTGACGTTTTTATGACATATTATACTGTAATGTTTTTTATGCCATACTATACTATGATGTTTTTTGACATTTTTATGACATATTATACAATGACGTTTTTATGCCTTACTATACTATGAAGTTTTTTTACATTTTTATGCCATACTATACTATGATGTTTTTTGACGTTTTCATGTCTTACTATACTTTGACATTTTTTGACTTTTTTTGACATACTATACTATGGCGTTTTTATACCATACTATATTATGATGTTTTTATGTCTAACTATACTCTGACGTTTTTATACCATACTCTACTATGACACTTTTATGACATAGTATACTATTACATGTTATTCCATACTATACTATGACGTTTTCATGCCTTACTATACTGTTATGTTTTTTGATGTTTTTATGCACCACTATTCAATGACATTTTTATGCCTTACTATACTATAACATTTGTATTCCTTAATTTACTGTAAGGTTTTTATGAAGTTTTATGCCTCAGTATACTATGACAGAGTATATTCAAACTCCAGGCTCGGGATTCAAACTAACAACCTTCTCGCTGTGATGCAACAAAGAGCAGATCAGACAAGTTAACACAGAGACAAATAGATGAATTATAAAAACAAATTTAGTGTTTATGAAATCAGACAATGCGTTCAACATACATGTGTTTTTACTTACAGTTACTCATAGTTACATTTATTCATACATGTTCATACATATGTATGTCATCATTCATTTTATACAGGTAAAACAAGGCAGAATATACACACACTTATGACATAATGTACATAATATATTCTAATTAGTTAACTCACCATGACATTTTAACACTGAACATACTAAGGTGTTTTTATACCTTACTATGACATTTTCATTCCTTAAAGTAATATGTTGTTTTTTGACGTTTTTATGCCTTACCATACTATGACATTTTTATGACATACTAAACTATTATGTTTGTCTTCCTTACTATATTATGTAAGAGGATATGCAAATTCCAGGTCTGGGATTCGAACCAACAACCTTTACGCTGTGAAGCAACAAAGAGTAGATTTTATAGAATAAAAAGACAAGTAAACATAGACAAATGGATGAAATATAAGCAAATTATAGCAAATTTGTGGTATATGAAATCACACTGAACAGTACACTCCACATACATGTGTTGTTACATACAGTTATTCATAGTTACATTTATTCATACATGTTCCTACATACGTATGTCATCATTCATTTCATACAGGTCTAACAGGACAAAATATATATATGTGTATACATATATATATATATATATATATATATATATGTATACACACATAGCACATAATGTACATAACATATTCTATCAACTTTACTATACTACGACGCTTTGGGGATTTTTTTATGCCGTACTATACTCTGACATTTTTTGACATTTTTATGACTAATACTATGACGTTTTATGTCTTACTATACTATAATGTCTTTTGACGTTTTTTTGCCGAACTATACTGACTTTTTCATAACTTACTATACTATGACTTTTTTTCGCATTTTTATGACATATTATACATTGATGTTTTTATGTCTTACTATTGTATGATGTTTTTTGACATTTTTATGACATATTATACTATGATGATTTATGCTTTGCTATACTATGACGCTTTTATAACTTAGCTTTTAGGACTTTTTATGCCTTAGTATACTATGACATTTTTTTTTTACTTTTTTTATGACATACTATGATATTTTCTTATCTTTTTATGACAAATTATACTATGATGATTTATGTTTTGCTATACTATGACGCTTTTATAACTTACTTAGTTTTTAGGAATTTTTATGCCTTACTATACTTTTCGAGCTCAATGATTTATAAAGTCTGGGACAGTGTGTTTGAATTGATATGTAATGTTAATGTAGATCCTCTTTATCATCAGCATTTCATGTGTGTGTGTGTGTGTGTGTGTGTGTGTGTGCGCAGTGATTCTCCCAGGACAGAGTTCCTACTGACCAACTACACTCAGCCTAAAGAGCTGTTGTTTGCCATCAAGGAGCTGGCCTACCTGGGAGGAGACAGCAACATAGGTAACCCACACACACACACACACACACACACACACACACACACACACACACACGAAATACCCAAACCTATGAGAAGGACATCATATCAGTGGCCAAGACTGTTGGGATATGTTGTCGCTCAATGTTCAAATTATGTTCAAATTCCTCATTAACTACAGGTAAAGCCATCATGCACACAGCGGAGACCTTCTTCATCCAGGAGAACGGGGGAAGACGGGGCCACCCTCGGGTGATGATGGTGCTGATTGACGGGTGGCCGTCCGATGACCTAGAGCAGGCGGCTAAGTTCGCCCGAGATTCCGGCGTCAATGTCTTCCTGGTGTCTGTGGCCAAGCCGGCGCCCGAGGAGCTCGCCATGGTGCCTGACAAGGACTTTGTCAAGAAGGTTCACACTTTATTTACATTCAGCTCATAGTTTTGTTTTACTGAAATGGTTTTAATGGTGTTTCAGGAATGAAACATGTTTTAATGACAACAGAATCTCCTCCTCTCTCCTTGTGCAGGCGGTGTGTAAAGACAACGGTTTCTTCAGTTACTCCATCCCCAGCTGGTTCAGCACCACCAAACACGTCAAACCTCTCACTCAGAGACTTTGCTCGCTGGACGGCCTGCTCTGCAGTAAGACACACCTCCACAGCCGTAACACACCTGACCTGGAAGACACAGAGGTCACTGTCTTCAGTATTTCTTTCTAGAGAGAGAAGAACCTTTACAAAAACTGTTATTTTTTAGCTTCAGTGAACTTAATTAAGCCCAATAAAATGTCGAAATACATAAAGGTACAGTTAGAATACAGTTTTACCCACCAGTGTTTAAATGAAGAAACAAAACAGAACAGTAAGACAGGTATTATTTCATTAATTAAATCCTGATATCTAGAGGTTATACTGTTCACAAAAGGTCCGGTGAAAACTAACTGAAAGATTAATTGTTCATTAAAGTAATTAATTGTTTCTGAGTTTTTTAGGTAAAACCTGCTACAACTCGGTGAACATCGGTTTCCTCATTGACGGTTCGTCCAGTGTTGGTGAGGGGAACTTCCAATTGGTCCTGGACTTCCTGGCAGGAATTGCTGGCAGCTTCGATATCTCAGATGTGGGAGCTCACATTGGTCAGCGTCACAAGATGGAAACAGCTAATTAACTGATTTATTGATGAGCTGATTGGCTGATTGACTGTGTGGGGGTGTTGCAGGTGCGGTGCAGTTCACCTACGATCAGAGGCTGGAGTTCGGCCTGTCTGACCACTCCAACAAAGAGGACGCCACCAACGCTCTGAAGAGGATCCCCTACATGAGCGGAGGAACAGCAACTGGAGCAGCCATCAGCTACACCACCCAGAGACTGTTCAGGTAACATCACACCTGAGAGGTCACCTGTCGGAAGAGTTTGTGTGTGGAAAAAAAAAAAGCTTAGTTAAAGGACACTGATGATATTCTGTAACTTTCCACTGAGAATAACCAACATACTCTGTCCTGTTGCTCCAAATACTCACTACGGCGCCAAATGTCAATCAATTTGCCGCTGAAAATAGTCCCCAACAGTCCTCCTGTTTGTTTACTGAGCCTTCTTTAAAATTAAAATAATTTATCTGTTGTTTTCCTCAACCAGGCGGACAGGACCAGGTCGCAACTTTCTCATCGTGGTGACAGATGGTCAATCGTATGACGACGTGAGAAGCCCGGCGCTGATTGCACACAAACAAGGTATTTATGTGTGATTTAAAACCACAGCAGTTTATGTTCTATTCTTTTTGTCACATCTAATTCATATCATACCTGTTTCTCCTGTCCATCAATCACCAGAAATCACCATCTACTCCGTGGGCGTTGCCTGGGCCCCCATGGATGACCTCAGAGCGATGTCATCAGAGCCAAAGGACAGCCACACCTTCTTCACCAGAGAGTTCAACGGCCTCGCTGACTTCATCCCTCCGCTGGTCCAAGGCATCTGCCGAGACTTTGCTGAGAAAAACTAAGATCACACACACACACACACACACACACACGTTTGTACTTCTGCACTTGTGATGACAACTTCAACCGAACCCTTAAATAGTCTGATAAAATGTCCTCACAAAGATAGAAGTTCGCATTTGTACTTCTATATTTGAGGTGCCTCAAGTCTTAATGTTCTAATAGACCTTTGAAGAAGTGAAAACATGACAAAATGGCCTCACTTTTAGTACATATTTGTATTCCTATAATTTTGAGGACCTTTACTAACAAATTATCCATCCTGTAAACCTAAAACTGTAACTGTTTAAGAGGTGCTTTGCAGGTACAGGAACAGGTCCTCACAAAGTTAGACTTACATATTCATATTCCTTTAATTATTGCCTAGCCTGTAAAACCTACAACTGTAACAAGCTTAGATTAAATTTCCTTGCTTTGCATGTACAAATGCAGGTCCTCACAAACATAGCAGCACATACAGGTACTTGAGTACTTGTAAGGTCCTTCACTGACATACATCACTTGGCACCTAAACCTAAAACCCAAATCTTAAAGCTTTGAAAGGTGAGAAGCAAACAAATGTCCCCTTTATCCAAAATGTCCTTGCTTTGCAGAACAAAATCAAGTCCCCACAAAGACAGAAGTACAAGAGCACACACACACACATTGTATATATACCATACACATATACCCACAAAACACACAGCATAGAAAGATACTCATACACCAAAAACATTTTTCTATTTAATGAAGGAGACGTTGGAAAATCATCAAATGTGATAATCATCATCAACAACAGTAGAAACCACATTCATTCACTCTTCACTCTACAGTCTATTATTGTAGGACTCAAATTACTCTGAAGTGCAACTCAAAAATTAGTAAAACTATAAAAACAAAACATAGAATGTAAAACCTGTGAGAAAATCCTTAATATCACGTTAACCAAATTAATCTTATCAATTCTGATCAACCTGAACTTGAAATTTACTTTTTAAACAGATCCTAACTATGGAATAAACCCTGCTGAATCCTTTAATGAACTGCAGATTAAAGGGAAACAAAATCACAAATAAAGATATCCATATCTTCCAATTACAAAATAAATCAACTGTAACTGTAAAATAATTTGTTCATAATTATAAGGTACTTTATTAAAGTGCAATTATGAGAAAACTAGCCCATAATTACACAAATTTGTTATAAGATCCATAACTCATAATTATAACAAAATTATTTCATAATGAAGTTTTCTGGATCTTGTGATTACAAAATAAAAATAATGTTTACACTTATTTTGTAATTACGAGATCTTCTATGTTATTATTACAAGATCTGTATCTCATAATTCTGATATAAAGATTTTATAATTATGAAAGTAGTTTTCTAGTTACTGTGACATTTGTATGTCACAATTAAGAGATAAATATTTCATGATTATGAAATCTACATATTGTAGGTAAATACTTTTACCTGCAGGAAATCTTTTTCATGATTATGACATCTTTATATCATAATTACAGTAATGAGATCCTCAACTTTTAAATTATTTTAATAATAATTATTAGATATGTACATAATTTAAAGACAAATTTTAATTAGTTTCTTTAATCCAAGATTGTGTATTGCTTTCTAATGATCCACGTAGGAGCAGAAAAGGAGACATTTTTTAAAATTTGTTTTGCGTTTTTACATCAACACACTATATGAGTGAATAGTGAATGAATTAATGATTTCGGATTCACAGGATGTTAGACCAAGCAGCTCTCATGACTAATGCGTGATCCTTGAGATGTTCAACATGTTTACTTAACAGGGTTGGAGGTTTCGTCTCTTCGTTGAACGTTTTGGGAAATCATCTTGTTTGTGTCTTTATCTGTCCTCCTTATTAAGCTCTGGACAAGACACAAATGGTTTTCTTAAAATGTTTAACTGATCCTTTAGTTTTTAATTTTTTTTTTTGTAAACAGTCTCAGATAAAATCACTTTTGTTTCAGTCCATATCAGTTTGTTTCCTGAATCTGTCTTTAGACAAAAAGAAATCCTCAACCTTAAACTAGAGCATGGAGGTTTATTCTTGACCTTGGGAACATTTTTCTGTAATAAAACTTAAGGTTCACTTACTAGCTTTTTTCAGAGCTTTCAAGTTTATGCAGCCTTCTTCAGCAAATGGAACTTGCTCAGGTGTTGTCACGTGACCTAAGTAAGGCACATTGGTCATGTGATTACAGGTGTTCGTTTCTGTGAGATACTACATTCGAGAAGTGAATCTAGTAAGTAAAACTTAAGTTGAGTCTATGTTATAACAGAAAAATTAATTTAAATTAACTTAAAATCAATCAGTTATTAACATGACAAAATTAAACTGTCACTGTCAATTCTCAAGTCATCATTTTCTATTTGTAACATTTAATTTTTTCATATTTTAATCATAAAAAACTGGATCAAAGGACTTGCTAACAGAAATATCTTTCCCTCTTTGGTCCAAGATTTAAGCTCCATCCTTTTTTTTGTTGTTGTAATTGATGTATATTTGCCAAACATGTAGATTTTTCTGTATTTTTCTTAAACTGTAATCTATAATCTTTTTTTTTTGTGATGAGGACAGGGCCACAGCATGGCACCGGCAGAAAACCAGACTTTGTTAAAATACGCAATTAAATCTTCACAGTCTGTTCATTTTAAACTTTTTCTGCTGTGTTTATTTTACAAGCAGAATCAGAGGAAACCAGTTTCACAAGGACAAAATTCCTTTGTGTTTCTATGTGGTAAATACAAAGCTGGAATCAACCTTTTTTTTCTTGTTTAGACTTGAATAAATAATTGAATAAAATGTGCCAAATCTGTCCATCACAATGTTAAATATATTTTATTTTATGTCAGAACAAATTAAGACAAAAGAATTTTACAATATTTTTGGATTTCTACAGAACTCTGTATTTGTCATGGAGGAAAAAAACGAATTAATAAATCTCTGTGCAAAATCAAACTGCACCAAATCCAAGCTGCTCATTTAATAATAACTTAAAATATAAAATATAGATTTAGATTGGATTAATTCTGACAAAGACATGTCAACTATTGTTTAACTATTGTTTATCGCTATGTTCTGTTAATTTAACTGCTCAATTTATTAATAAATGCAGCTGATTAGGTCTTTTCCCCATGACACATGCCAGATTCCATAGTTTTCATACTCAAATAAAATGTTTGTAATTGTGGAAAAGAGCGTAAATGACCATCTTTTAAGAGTTTAAAGTCTCTGCCAGTACATTTTCATATTTTCTGGATGGGAAATGAGCAACGTGAATGGAAAGAATACAGGATGTGCTGTTAAAAAGGCTTAAATTACCTTTATGGTTCTTCAGATCTGTGCTGTTTGCGGGAGGAGGCGCCAGCCTGTAAGAACAGATATATAAAAATGTAAAAAAAAAAAAAAATCTGATTATTTGTCTCTGTGTAAATTAAACCTCTGATGGGATTCGGGTGGTAAAAGACAATTCTGTCCTTTTTCTGTATTTATTACCTGTTTTTTTCTTGTGTTTCTCCAATAAAGAATAGTTATTTTTACAGCTTGTCCATCTCCATGTTACTGAAGCTCAGACTATCAGACAGGGACGTGTTGCCACCTGGTGTCCAAACTGCAGATAACAGGAAACAAACAAGAATCAAATACAGTCAGAAAAGTGTAAACACATTTCACATATATCTGCTAATAAAGCAAAAAACATGTTTACTTTCTATTTATGAACATTTTTAATCTAAATCTGGAAAACAAAATTTAAGGATGTTGTTTATTCCCTGAAAGTAATAAATCTCTACAGAGTGTTAGGGCCACATCGAGGAAAGAAAAAATCTGATATTTTGAGAAAAAAGTCGTAATATTACAAAAATAGTAATATTATGAGAATAAAGTCATGATTTTAGGTCCTGTGCTGTTTTAGGGGGAAATTTCAGAATCTTTAAAATGAGGAATGTGAAATTATACTTTAGCAGAGGTTTCAAAAATAAGGAGATACTTCTTCTGAAACATTAACATGATTATTACCTGGTATATACAGGTAACATTAGTATGCGGAGCTGGGACTCACCTTTTCTTCTTCTACACCCATGTTTCATGCTTCACCCGAGAGACTGCGCTCGGTTTAAACAATCTGAAGGTTCATTACCGAGAAATCTAAACGCTGACTCGGGTTAGTTTGACAAAGATCTCCACAACTCTTCACTTCTGGGTCTTGCATTAGAAAGTTGTAAAATAAAAAGCTGTGTATTTGTTTTGTTTTCTGTCAGTAGTTGTGGAATTCTTCAGTCCACTAAAGGCCAAAAAATCATTCATGTAATTCTTCTCATTAGATTCATATTATTAGTCTTTATTTTTTCACTTCATGTTCCATCTGTAACTGTCTCTTTATGTATAAAGACATTAGTTGCACCAAGTCGCCGTATCTCATTATTTTCTTCTTTTTCAGCTCAGACAGTAACACTCATGTCTTTGTCTTTCTGGTTTGAATTTATGGATTTGAGAAGTGATTTAAAAATAAAGTCAGATACTCAACATGTGTCCAAAGTCATTAAAATGTGCAGCTGAACAGCAGAAAATGTATAATTTATACTTTTTGGTGAGCAGTTTTTTATCCAGATGAATGTACATTAGCTCTTTTTATTTTGACTGACACTTAAACTACGTTCACTTATTGAATCTCAGCTGCCCAAACAGAAACTATCTCCAGTGTTTCTTTGCTTAAACTTTAAACAATAAATTAAATTTTACCTTGTTTTTATTGTTTACACTGTTTCAAAAATCTACATTTTAAGACATATGAAAAGTATCAAAGGTTTTCCATGAATTTTCTCCACTAAAGTACATTTAAATTTTCATCATAAAAGTTTAGTTAAAAATAAAACTAAATTATCTAGTTAAAAAAAATAAGTGGGGTATCGTGTGGCGCAGTGGTCTAAGCAGGTGCCCCATGTGTGGAGGCCACAGTCCTCGCTGCAGTCGGCCCCGGTTCGAGTCCCGCATCGGACGGCCTTTGATGCATGCTGCCTCCCCACCTCCTGTCTCTCTCTACTGCACTGTCAATAAAGGCATAAAAAGCCCAAAAAATATACTCAAAAAAAAAAAAACTGGTACGTATGTACATGAAGGCAATAAAATATCTGGTCAAAAAGAAAGTCAATATTTTGTGTGTTAGCAAGCAGCTCTCATTTCAACTGTTTTCATCTGTAAAGCATTTAAAGTGACTCTATTACACACATTGAATTAACACTTACACTCATTTTCAAAAGCTCCTACAAATCTATAAATCTATAAGAACAGCTCAACAGCGAAAGCCTCAAGGTGTTGGACTCACCTGTAAAATCAGTTTGATCATTTGTTCTTCACAGAAGCAGTTTATTCTGAAAGGAAGAGTTCATTTTGTAAAGTGGGTTTGGGTTGTTTCCATGGAAACAGATACTTTAAATGTTTTCACATGAAATACATTTTTGAAAGAACTTGAGGCATCATGGGTTCATTAATGTTATTAATGACGGTAACTTTACGTTTTAATGGATTTCAACAGGATATTCGTTCTTGTCGTTTAATAAATAGTTTGACTCCAAAAGAATTTATTTAATTATCATCACAAAACCTGGTGATTAGTTTTCGTTAGATCAGCTAATCAATGAACTGACTGACTGTTGCAGCTCTTCTGCAAAAACCTCAGGTGTCAAACTTTGCTGGAGCTTTTATTTTGGCGGTTGTGTTCCTGTGGTGCGGTGCAGCAGAATGAGGAGGGAGCGGCAGCCTCTGTACAGGTACACCATTTAATAGTTATTATAGACATTTTATATACATTTCAACAGTTGTATTCTGCTATGTGGTACAATCTTTAAAATCTGCTGTTTCATAGTTTGTAAATCAAAAAAAAAAAAAAAAAAAAAACTTTAACCAAAACTCATCAAAACTCGCAAACTGATCAGAACCTTTTTTTTTATCCATTTTTTGGAAGACTAGAAAAAATACTTTTATTGTATTAATCATGCATTACACAAACAAAAAAAAGTCTTTAGTTACACAGTAAGTTGTAGCGTGGGTGAAAATAAAACAAAAATAAAACGTTTTGTTTGGAGTTGTGATCGATCAGGAGCCGCGCGCGTTACAAATCCCTTCAGTTAGAAAAATTAAATTAAAACCGGAACACGACGATAAAATGAAAAACTTCCCGCGAGTCCGAGCGGGTCGGAACCGGTTCTACTAGATGAGACTAAAAACCATCTAATGATATAAATAAGTAACTCCTGCTCAGTGAAGCTGTGACCGAGAAACGTGGAGAAAATGATCACACAGTGATTTGAGGAGGAGGAGGAGGAGCCTGCAGACCTCTAGAGGATTTACTGCAGCGTCGTCACCTGTTTACACCCAACACTCAGACTGAGACTGTGGTGTGTTCAGGGACTCTGTAAAGCCGAGTATTTCCAAGTTTATTAACAGAGGTTAGTGTCAAACTGCCAAAACATGAACTGTGATGCTTCACTTCAACACGATACATCGCCATCAAACCTTTATCATTTTTTATTTTGTCTTTTTTGAAGGTCTATTTTATTTTAAACATATTTTCTTTATTTAAAAAAACAACTATAAAATCAATCAGCTTCCTCTCTGTGCAGCACTGAGCGACGTCACCTTGGACTCGACAGATCACAGCTACACATGAATAAAACTGACAGTAAAAATGGATTCAAATGTTATTGTAAAAGTCTGATTTCTGCAGTCAAACACTGAATCTTCACGGTGAAACTCAGAATAACAAACACACCCTGAAGTTGTTCCTTTCAGCTGCTCAGCATGTCAGTATCTGATCTGAAGTTTGGGACGAAGGTCGCTTCAAATGAACGAATCCATCACAGAGAAGCTGTATCCGACCGAGGTGTTCATTAATGTTTAAACTCCTACTCAACATTTTCCTGAGGTTGTTGAAGACAAACCAAAACCAGGAGAACAAACAACACGCAAACATGGAGGACGTGGACATTTTTTTTTTTTTTAGCAGCTTTTATATTTTAAAGACAAATCGCTCAGATGACAGATCGTCCTTGAACTCAACGTAACTTTAGCTGACGTCTTCTTCAGCGTCATTCAACTGTATTTGTGTCTCTACCATCAGCCCCATGAGACGTGAACACAGCATCAGGAGAGAATAAAAGGATTGTCCTCCTCCTCCTCCTCCTCAGCAGCTCCCTCCCTCCTCTCTCCTTTACTCTCTACATTAAATCTGTGACAGGATCCAAAAACTGAACCCAGAGTTTGTGAAAAGAACCGGCCTGAGACGGGCCGCAGGTCTGTGAGTCATCGGGGCGTGAGGCGGGCGGGGTCGATGGCAGGACTGGACGGGAAAGAGGAACCAGAATCCTCCTCGGTGACATTTAGAGAAAAAAAAAAAAAAAAACGGATTATAAAAACTAATTTATTTTATACAAACAAAAAAAAAACAACATCTGGGACCACAGTCCTTACATGGGGCGGGGTTTAAACACAGGGCTCTGATTGGGCCACCAGGGGCTGAGGCGACCAATCCTCCACAGCCAATCAGCTCAAACCTCGTCGGAGACAAACGGCGACAGATGATCTGATTTCTAACCCCACGTGTTCATGAAGTTTCTCCAACTTTGACCCGTTTTCAAAAATCCACTCATCCTTTAAAAACACTGTAAAAAAGTTGGGCAGGTTAAAATCTGAGAACAGCTGTTTGTTTGTTTGTTTTTTGTTGTTTTCCTGAAGCTTTGGTTCAGATTTAATTATTAAAAAACTCAAAGAGAAAGAAGCACAGAGGGTTAAAACACGCTTTAAAGGAAAAACCCGCCTCCGATCTTCTTCTTCTTCTTCTGTGGTTCAGCTCAGTTTGTCACGTGCAACACTTTCCAACATTTAAAACCGTTTCATTTACCTCGAGGTGAACGCAGCTTCATGTCAACGTCAACATTTTCCACCATCACGCACATGGCGAACATTTTTCTTCATGGTTAATGTTTCCCGCCTTTTTACAGCAGCATTTGTCGCCTGTTTGTCTCAGCGGTGATGTCACGGCAGAAAACAACAACAGATCGTTGTTGCTATAGAAACCATCACTACTAGGGGAGAGAAACTCAAAACCGCTTGAATAAAAGTCCTGGGGCCGGTTGCAAAACACCTTAAGTTAAGATTTTCCTCAAAGTCTGAGTTAAAGTTTCTTTAAAATATAAACATCTGCTCAAAAAACCCTTAAGTCTTTTTTTTTCTTTTTTTAAGTTTCCTCAAAATGTTCACTGAAGTATTTCAGGTTTTCTCCTTATCTTAGTCTTAAACTTAAGGAATCAATTAAAGTCAGTTAAAGCATTTTACAAAAGACCTTAGTGACCAAACTAAGGAAAAACCTAAAGGTACCACTGACTTCATCTTAACTGAAATATGACCAAACTTTATGGTGATAAATGAAGAGTGTTCCTTATGGCAGCGAATCAACGGTCTCCATGGAAACAGTAGAATTTTACTGCTGCAAATGCCTCAAATTTTTTCCTTAACTAAGAAAACCTTTGAAGAGATTCAAGAGAAATTAAACCTCAAGTTTCAGACTTAAGTATCAAACTTAAGGTGTTTTGTGCAACTGGCCCCCTGCTCTTTTATCAGCGCTGAAAACTTGAACCGATTTATTTTAGCAGGAGCGAAGAGCAACACCTGAGGGCTGCTGCTGATCACCGGGCTCATAACCAATTCACTGATCAATCATTCAATCATTTCAGCGTTTGAAGATGTCCATCACAGTTCTGCAGAGTCCAAGGTGACGCCTTCAGAGAGACACTGGACACTGATTGGCTCGAGTGGTGAAGTTAAAACATGATGTAATAGGTCCGATTCTGTTTGGGGAATTTCTCGACTTTATGAACCGTCACATAAAAAAAAAACAAAAATGCCAAAATAATCCTGTGAGTCGTTGGTTCCTGTCCTGCAGCTGAGCGGCTGGTGCAGAGTTAAGGTGGAACGATATTGTGTTTGTGCAGAAATCAGACGCTGTGGGGCGTTTGCTGAGCGTTGGACGCAGCGCTGGCAGCTCTCCCAGGGACGTTCTCCCGCTGCGAGAACCAAACGTGGAAACATCCGGACGTGATGTTGATGAAAAACACGGCAAACTACAGAACGCTGACGGAAACAAGAACGCCACTGAGCCGGCTCCGCTCCTGTCCGAGCTGCAGGTCAAACTAGCGTTAAAACAAGGGAGGGAGGGAGAGAGGGAGGGAGGAAGGGAGGGAGGGGGTGGGGCTTCATGTAGTGTCATCAGAGCTATGTTCAGACTGGGAGGGGGGGAGATGACATCACAGGACAGGTGAGCTGCAGGTGAGCTGCTGTGTGTCGACCTGCAGGTTTAAACAACATTTCCACAACGTTCCTGAACGTCTCTCAGTCAGTCAGCGCTCCACCTCTTAACTTAAACTGTGTGTGTGTGTGTGTGTGTGTGTGTGTGTGTGTGTGTGTGTGTGTTCAGTCGTCCAGTGGAGATCCTCATCACCTCCAGTCTTTCATTAATATATATTCTGTGTTCAGAGACCTGAACAGACCTGAATCCTTTGTGTGTGTGTGTGTGTGTGTGTGTGTGTGTGCGTGTGTGTGTGTGTGTGTGTGCGTGTGTGTGTGTGTGTGTGTGCGTGTGTGTGTGTGTGTGTGTGCGTGTGTGTGTGTGTGTGTGTGCGTGTGTGTGTGTGTGTGTGTGCGTGTGTGTGTGTGTGTGTGTGAACGCCCTCGCCTCTCTCTCTCTCTCTCTCTCTCTCTCTCTCTGAGTCTCTCGCCCCGCAGTCATCTGATTCCTCCTCCCCCTCTTCTTCTTCCTCCTCCTCCTCCTAGTCTAGACGTAGACCCTGGCGAGGGCGTCGGCTCCGGCGGAGGCGATGTACGCCTTGGAGGGGTGGAAGGCCACGTCGTAGATGGCCTCCTCGCTCTTCTTACGGTGAGCGGTGATCTCCTGAACGCACGTTTTACTGTCGAGGTTCCACAGACGCAGAGAGCAGTCGTGACCTGAGGAGGAGGAAGAGGAGGAGGAAGGGGAGGAGAGGAGGAGGAGGAAACATGTTCGCGATCATGTCAGTGAAAAATTTTGGTGAAAATAAAACCATCACAGATTCTGTTTGATGTGTGCGACTTACTGCCAGACATCAGGTAGATCCCGTTGGGATCCACGGCCAGACTGGTCACTGCGTCCAGGTGAGCCACCATGGCGTGGATCACTTTACCTGCGCACAGACAGGAGAGGTCAAACAGGTGGATGAGAGGCGGTTTATGACGCGTTCATACAAAGTGTGTTTACAGAACGTTATGATGTCACAGGGAAGATGACCTTTAACCTTTCGGATATAAACGGTCATCACTTCATTTTATTATTACTGTGTGAATTCTTCAGCTATGGCCAAATAAATAAACGTGTTATATGAGGTCACAGTGACCTTTGACCTTTGACCACTAAATTCTGATGTTTGCACCAAATGTGAAGAAATTCCCTCAAGGTGTTACTGAGGTGGACAGGTGAGCAGGTGGACAGGTGAGCAGGTGGACAGGTGAGCAGGTGGACAGGTGAGCAGGTGGATGTCTGACCTGACTTGTTATCGTAGAACTTGATGTGTCGGTCTTCGTGAGCGGTGATGGTGACCGGCAGCGTGGGATGACTCACCACCTTGTTGATATGATTGGACCCGGGGAGAGCTGAGGGGGCGGGGTTAAAAACAAAACAAATGATTAAAGAGACGCATTATTACACACTTCTGTGTGTGTGTGTGTGTGTGTCCTTACTGCCATCTCCCTGGCCCTTCAGCACCAGTGCATGCTGGGAGGTCTCCAGGTCGTACACCACCACGTCTCCACTGTTAAAGGACGCCACCATGTGGGCGGGGTCACAACCGTTGAAGTCCACAGATGTGGGAATCCCGTGCTCTGCAGACACACAGACATGTTAGTAAGAGGAAAGTACGTGACAGAAGCAGTTACATCTGGCGGTCTCCTCTGGGGGGGGGGGGCTGCGCCACGTTCTCACCCTTGTTTGTGTTGAAAGTGCCGATGCAGGGGTTCTTCTCTGTCGGGTTCCACAGCTTCACCGTTCCGTCTGCCGAGCAGGACAGGAGGCGGTTCTTGATGCCGCTGTAAGCCAATCCCCACACGGCGTCTGTGTGCCCCAGCCACGAGCCCGCTAGGACGCTGGGATCTGATTGGACAAGAGGAGAAAGCAGGGGAGGAGTCTAGTGTTTAGAAAATGGAGCAACTTTTGCTTTTATACTTCAAATTCGTTTCAAAAGTAGAACCTGAGAGCGAGAACACTTCCAGAAAGAAAGACACGTTTGAAAAGTGACGCCATTTTTCACAGAAACAGTTTTATACATTCAGGTATATTGGTGTATTTTTGGAACATGGGGCACATTTTTGTGCGGTCAGGACATTTCGTCTTCTCCTTGTTCTCAAAATGGTACAATCAGCGTTCACTCCCAGGTCACATCCCGGATTTATCGGCTCCGGCTTCGATCGACATCGATGTAAACACAACTTCTGGGTGAACACGCTAACTGTGAGACAGAGTGAGAGTGAAGCTGCAGCTCACCGTTTCTCTCCTGAGTCTGTGTGTGTGTGTGTGTGTGTGTGTGTGTGTGTGTGTGTGTGTGTGTGTGTACCGTAGGTGTCGTAGGGGTCGACATTTGAGCTGGGGATGTTCCACCACTGGATGGTTGAGTCGATGCCTCCGCTGAAACACTGTTCGCCACTGGAGGTCATCGCCAACGACAACACTGGACCACTGACACACAGAGACACAGACCTTCAGTTACCACACAACAGACAGTAAACCAGCTCTGTGTGTGTGTGTGTGTGTGTGTGTGTGTATAGATACGTACACATGGGCTCTGAATGTGTAGATGGGTTCCACATCAAAAGAGGCACTTCTGCAAAAACAGTGGAAATAAAACATTATCATCTTCATCACCACCCTCCTCTTCATCCTCATCCTCATCTCAGCAGCTTTTATCTAAAAGGCTGAAAACACGGCGTCTCCTCTCAGCTGAGCTCCGTGGTGATGTGGTGCGCTGTGGTAAATCTTGAAGGGGGATTCTTTACAGGGATTATGTGCGGGACACTGACTGTATTTGAAGTTTAGCTGAACAGTGTCAGATGAGGCAAATGAGATGCTAATACTGAAGCGCTGTCGGCGGCGAGGAGACAGGATTTTCCTCTGAAGTCAAGAGAGTCAACACAAAGAAACATCCTGTGATCTGTCACCAACTCCCTCTGATGAGACCGCACAGATATACTGCACATACACTTCAACTGTGCAATCACACCATATATTGTCACATTTAAGTTGTTTTATTTATATATAAATAAATATATAGTATAAGGACATATTTTCACTTTTATCTTTATATTTTATCTTAATAATCTTACTTCTTATTCTCTATTCTTTGTTGTTTTCTGTTCATGAGAGAGAGCACCTGTAATGCAACCTAATTAAAGTATTCTGATTGATACACACCGTCTGTGGATAAACTTTAAATAAAACTGACACCTTCCACCATAGTTTCTCTGTCTAGGCAGAATCTGAATATGACACAGACATGAAAAAATATAAATATATATTTTTCAACCCTTTTAGCAGCTGCATGTGGAGACAGAGTGATTTTAGTGACGTTTTGTCAAAAATAAATTAAGAAATTAATTTATAGTGAAAAGAAATCTAACACTGAGTAACCTGTAAACTCTGTGTAGAAAGACAGAGCTGCAGCAGCCGCCACGCACACACAACTCACATGCAACGCATACGCAACGCACATGCAGGCAGTGTGTTCCCAGCGTTAATTCTGTCATGTGCCCCAAGTGGTTTCAAAATGAAATCCTCCAACTGCTGCCAGAGAGCTAGATACTGGATACTATGCCAAGAGCAAAGGCATGCACAAGACTTTTATTGTGAAGTAGCCGCCTGCACTCGACCGGTGGACAACTGCGCTCTAGATGAGCATGAATGATCAGTTAATTAGGTTAATTACATCCTCTACTTGAACAACAGTGGAAGCTGGTGGTTGGTAACGCTGCCTCTTTGTCACTTATTAACTGCTTCAGGTGTCACTGACGTACTTTTTGGCGGGGACGGTCTTGGTGAGGTTCCACAGTTTGAGGGTGTGGTCCTCGGACACGGTGACCAGGCAGGGCTCGACAGGGTGGAAGGCCAGCGCTCGAACGCCGTCGAAGTGGCTCCGCAGTGTGTACTTCGGGTTCCACGTCTTCCTGAATGAAGACTCCTTATTGGATGGCAGCTGAGGTAAACACACGACACGTGATTAAAGTCATTTCACACAGGTCCGAGTCTTTAAACCAATGTGCGGTTTGTTCGTGTCTTACGTCGTAGCTGTAATCTGTGTCATCGTTTGTGACGGTGAGGTCAGCGAGGTCACCCAAACCCAGCACGCTCTCCAGCACGTCGTCCGACCCCCCCAACAGGAAGGACTTCCCCCCGCCGGTAGGAAATGGCAGAGGCTCAGCTACAGAGAGAAAGACATAGAGGAACTTTAATAAAACACTTATCTCTTATCAAAGTGACGTCACTCTCTACTCGTCTCTGCAGTGACACCTACAATACAATAACTGTCTAATGCATGTGAGGGATTTTACTTTCTAACTGCTTCCACCCTCAGATCTGAGCAGCAGAGCCTGCAACACATGTAACAAAGATAAAACACAAAACCCTCCAACATCTGCTCCATTACATTCATGTCACGTCTATAAATCTGCATTAAATCCTCATGTGTTGACTCTGGGCGACATGCCGAGGCAGAGCCGACAGGGGACCGGCTAAGACGGAGCAGTCTGCCGACATGGAGCCGACGTTGAACCGGCATCCTGCTGATCTTTTGCAAGTTTGGAACTCAGTATCTTAAAGGGTCAGATTTGTAAATGAAATGCTGCGTTTCCTCTGATGATTGACATCAGAAGCTAACAGTAACTCCTGATGCAGCACCTTCACATCCAGACTGAATAACTTCCACACACACGCACGCACGCAATCGTCATCTGTTCACATGTAAATCATCACATGGATTTGTCTCTATGACAGAAAACTAGATCTTTTTTTCATGCTTGTATTTAATCTGAGTTTCTCACCCCACTCCGTCCCGTCTCCAGAGCTCCGAGCTTCGCCCGCTCCCTCTCCGTCCTCGCCCGTCACCAAGAAGTCAAACTCCTTCAGAGCCTCCTCTGTGTCGGCGTCGTCCTCCGACGCCAAGCCCTCGTTCCCGACCTAGAGGAGGAGGAGAGAGGGAAGAATTAGGAAAAAAATAAAAACTTTGAAGGAAGTGGGCAAGGAAAGAGAAAGGAAGGAAGGAAGGAAGGAAGGAAGGAAGGAAGGAAGAACAAAATGAAAACAGGGAGAAAACGAGGGAGGGACATCAGAGGAGGAGGGAAGAGGGAAGGAACGAAGTAGATAGGGAGGAAGGAAAATATGTGTGTGTGTGTGTGTGTGTGTGTGTGTGTGTGTGTGCGTGCCTTGGTCTTGTGTTTCTTGGCTCGGTGGTGTTTGTCGGTGCTGATGTCGTCCATCAGGTCTCCCTCCTCATCCTCGTCTTCATCGCTGTCCTCTGCGTTTTCTAGGAAGTTAAACGTCTCCAGAACGTCACCTGGACTCCTGGACACAAAAACATTCACGTGTTACCTCTGTGTGACCTCTGACCCCACTATCTGTGTGTGTGTGTGTGTGTGTGTGTGTGTGTGTGTGTGTGTGTGTACCTCTTGCTGTCCTTGCGGCGCTCCGTTCCGTTGATCAGGTGCTGCAGGTTCTTGTTCTCCACGGATCCGTTCTGCTCTGATCCCGACAAGCCGAGCAGAGAGCGAACCCTCTGGGTGCGAACATCCAGGATGGTGTCCGTGTATCCGACTTCCTGCAGGTACCTGAACACACCACACACAAAATTGCATATGGACTGTTGATCACACTCAGAACAGGAAAACAGTAACTAGCTGATTAGTGTGATGATTGCCAATTAATTTTCTGTTGATTGGTTAGTTGTTGCATGTTAATATTTGTGTGTGTGTGTGTGTGTGTGTGTGTGTGTGTGCGCTCTTACTGTCTGAGCAGCTGTCTTCCTTGTTTCCAGGTGAGCTGACTGTTGGCGGGAACAGCAGAGACCTCTGAGTCTTTGGTGTCTGGAGGACGAACACAGAACAGACAATGAGGCGACACAGGGACTGTTGTCCTTTTATTTCTGGTTATTTATTTTATTTCTACTTTTATTTCTGGTTTTACTCTCTTCCAAACATCTCCTCTCTTTTAGCACTTCATTATTTTATCTTTATTATTTTGTTTCATTTTGATTTGATTTGTAATATCCTACTTTTATTTCTGTTTTAGAGTTTTATTATTTTATGTGCAACACAAATTAAGTCTGATTGATTGATTTTTAATCTACAGTGCGACGCCCTCGATGAGATCCTAGTCACTGGGTCAGTGATAACTCTGGGACTGAGAGGACTGATCCTAACCAGGAGGAGCGCTGAATCCGATCAATACGATGAGTTCAAGTGTCGGGAGAGGGAAAAAAGGTAACATGGAGGAGAGAAGTAAGAAGAAGGAAGTGAAGAAAGAGAGGAAGAGGAGGAGATGAAAGCAGGATATAAAGCTGAGAGAGAAGAAGAGATTAAAGTGGAGGGAGATGAGAGTGTAACAGAGTCCGTATTCCCTCTGCTGGTTTCACTTTGGAACAAACATGTCTCCTCGCGTCGGGTCACGTACCTGATTCAAAGCTTGGCATCTTCATCTCTCCTTGGTTCAACTCTGTTCCATATTTTAACTTGTGATATTTTGCTCTGAGGAGGAAACGGAGGAAAACATTTATGATCCAGCTCGATTCAAGAACAAGACGGAAGTAAAAGTTCAGACTGAGGCTGTGAAACTGATCACACACTGGAAAACCAAAAGTGAAGACAGTTTTATTCTTACTCCCACTGACCCTGAACCCTCAGACTGCACTGCAGAAGCCTGAAGCTCCAGGCTGAACCCAGATCAGTTTTCCATACCGACTCCGATTCATCAGTTTGGGCCGCAAACAGAATTTATATACATCACATTACTGTTTTAAAAACAGATTCAGATCCGTCAGTTCACCAAAACCTGAACGTTACATCGTACAAGTCGACTCTACGGCTCAACACTTAGAGAAGTTAGACAGCATTAGATTGTATAGGGGTGCCTAATAAAGTGGACACTTTTCCCTTCTTCCCATCAACACATGAATGCAACACAGCTGTAGACTTGGATCGGCCTGTGCTTGCAGCTGTATTTGAAATCAATGCTGACATTTAACTTTGATAAAGGACAAAAATAAACCTGATTAAACATCGACTGTGTCAGATTTTTTTTCCCTGCAGCAAGTTTCAAGCCTGAAAGTCGATTTTCATAGAAACAAAGTGAAACCGAAGGTCGTCTGGAAGGAGGGAAAACAAACTTCTAGGGAAACGATGAAGCACATGATTTTTAATAAAATGACTAAAGCGTGAAAGAAATCAGCAGCACGGCCCTTTAATGTTGTGATAATGAGTAACATGATGACAGGAGAAGAAGAGTCAGTGACACTGAAGGGTTTCTTACCTCTCCTGCTTCAGAGCGTATTCTAACATCTTTATTCTTCTGACCAGGTCGTTCTTCAGGTTCTCCTGACCTTTCCTCTCTCCCTGCAGGAACGCTATCCTCGCCTGGACACACAACACAACACACACAGAGAAACAGACAGACAGACAGACAGACAGACAGACACACACACACACACACACAGAGACAGACAGACAGACACACAGAGAGAGAGAGAGATTCACAATTCATGTCGTCATCCACCAGAGTCAATGTGATCAATGTGATCATCGCCTGATTTTAAAAAGACAATTAAAAGAGGCATTAATAAGCTCTCAGATGGGATTCATTTAAATATTTACTTCTATTATTTCAGTTGTTTTTTTAAAATAATACCTATTTACATTATATTATATATTTAGATCCCCAATAACAACTGTGTTGTAACCATGGCTAGTCTTCCTGGGGTCCCCTTAAATTCATCAACCAACACAAATCTGTCTAATAATACAATAACTCACTATTCAGTGATTTCACTTCTCAACAACAGAGAAGAAAACTTTTCATAATTCAATCCAATAAGTCACAAAGAAAAATTAAATAAATATGTGGGATGAACCAGCTGCTGCATCTATTTCCATTTCAGAAAACAAACTAAATTCTTATAAACAAGAAAGTCATAATGTTCTATACTATTGTGTAAACCATGTCAACAAATGTGGAAATGAATTAATTCCAACTTCATATCCACGTCCATGTTTAGACACTTTCTTCACTATCAAGTCGACCTGCAGTGACTCTGTGAGGAGTCTCTCGCTGCGGCCTGTAAACGCTCAGCAGGTGTTTGTTAATGACAGAGCTGTGCAGTGGATGATTGACAGCTCTCCGAATCCCTCCCACACTGGGCTGAGACTGATTTTCAAACTGCACAAAAACACCTTCACACACAGTCGATCTGTTTCACTTCAGCAGTTTTCCTGACGAGGAGCTGTTCGCTTTAAATCAGCCGCTGCGTCTTCAGCATCAGATCTCTTTGAAGGTGTCTCAGTGATGCGTCTTAATCCGTCCACGTGGATAAACTGTCATTCAACTGCAAATTAGGACGCCACCATTTAAGCCTGTGTGAGAATTCAGAGTGCCCCTCTTCTTCTGTGGTATCGGTTTTACAATGGATACGAAGCATCAACACAGGAACTTCTTCTTCTTGGTTTTATGGTGCCTGCCACACGTCTATTTGACCTGATCCTGGAAAGACGGACAGGTAATGCCCTGATGTTTAGTTCATACTTCCTCTGGTCTCTGGAGCTTATTGGACAAAAAGCACCTTCTGATAAATAAATAGCTCCTCCCACTTCACAGGTTTGTTATTACTGATGGAAATGATGGAGAAAACTATCAGGACGAATTATCCTCTTTTACGAGAGACACATGGACAAACACTGAAAACCCTGAGCCTCCACATCACCCCCATCACCTGTCCATCAGCAGCACTTCCTGTCTGACTGACCACACCTGTCTGTCTCTCTGTCCATCTGTCCGTCTGTCTGTCTGTGAGCAGCTGCTCCTGAAACCCAACACTGACGGAGGCCGGAGGCTCAGAGCTATTTATACCAGCGCACACACACTGAGAGCTCTCTGCCAGCGTGCCCATGGCAACAGGGGGGGGGGGGTCGAGGCAAAACTGGGGCGGTTGGGGGGTCGCGACTTCCTCTAGTGAAGGTCGCCATGACGACGGGGAAACTAGAGGTCCTCCCCCGGGCCAAAACAGAGAGAGACAAGGATAGGGAGTCTGGGAGGCGGATTACATAACACACCACACTAATTCAGATGTGCTCCGATTGGCCGGCTCTGTGATTGACAGCCACAGCTCCACAGCACCCCCGACATCACTCTGACATACCAGAAGACCAGTGTGTGTGTGTGTGTGATTGCTACATGATCGCTGCTCATACATACCTACACACACACACACACACAGTAAACAACCACACATTTGACCCACGTTCAGCAGCTCAGTCGACTGTGACGAAGAGACTTGAATTAAAGGACAATTCCTCTAAAACGCAGCAGTGATTTGAGTTCACTGTGAGTCACAGACGGTTACTGGGAACTGACAATGACTCATTATGCAGTCAGGGCATTGATCACATGTTTTTATGACTGTTGTTCATCTAAACAGAACAAATACAGATTTATCAATTAACTGATCATCAGAAAATTAACTTCCATAACAGATGAATCATTCCAGTGATGATTTAAGATGAGAAATGTGGAACGTGATGGTTCCAGCTCGTCCACTGTGACGTCTCTGTCGCAGGAAATTGAACTATCTTTGGGTTTTGGGCTGTCGGGGTCTCACAGGTTTCATAAACCAAACAATCAATTCATCTAGAGATCAATCGTCAGATGAATTGTTAATAAAAAATGATTGTTAGTTGCAGCCTTAGATCTAAATATATCAAACTGTACATATCCTCTGTCAGATGCTACTTTTATTTCCTTAAGGAAAAACCCAGGAGTGTTTGCACTGTGCTCTTGCGTAATCTAGTTTTAACTTGAATATTTGCTGTCACACACTCTTACAGTGTGTGTGTGTGTGTGTGAACCAGCGTCCGTCTGACGTTTAGTTAATGTTTGTCGTGTTGCTGCACTTTGAGCCAACACACAGACATCCAGCTGTGAAAAACGTTTTATAGTCACAACTTCATCGTTTCTCTTCTTCTCTGAAAATCTTGGGAATGATGCTCAAGACCGAAGAACATGTGGAGACGTCAGCTGGTGCTGGAGGTCGAAGCGTGACGGACATTTCTCTTTCATGTTTTATAGACGGAAAAAGAAAAAAATCATATTGCAATTATTTTTTGGCAGATATTGCAACACGAGTCTTTATGACACATTTCACCTTTTATCAAAAATACTGCAGCTGCTGTGATTTAGATTTTGCACGTGGCCACACTGCGATTTCGATAATATTTCCATTAATTGTTCAGCTTCGGTCCGACCTACACCTGAACCTGGATGATAAATCCAGGTGTTTAAAAACATGTGGCCTTTCTAATGTTTGATGAATCCGCCCAGCCTTTACTTTAAAAAGAGGTTTTATCTTTTGAAAAGCTGGTTTCAGTGGTAGAACAGAAGAGAATCTACAGGACTGTGAAAACACCTTTGTCTCGTCTTGAACACCTGTGCCGTCAGCTTTACTTCACACCTGTTCAACCTTACAACAGAGTGATCCTAACACAAGTCTCAACATCGTGTTTGTTTATGACACCTCTAACAAGAAGACGCAACATCCCATCATCCATCACTTCCTTACTCAACTGCACCTGTTCATGTGATTGGCTGGAGCTAAAAGTCCCTGGGGGATTTTACAACACACATCACAACTACACAACTAAACACAACAGTTCCTATCAGTCGGTTCAAAGCCGTGACGACTGAAACTCCTCCGCTCTCCGTTACTGTGTTTAACTGTTTGTTTGTTTTGTCCTTCAGTATCTTGTGTATTTATTCTGTTTCACGTCATGATTCCTCCAGGTTTTAAATAAAGGTTGAACAATGTTGAATCTCTTCACAAAAAGTTCATCTGGACTCTGAAGTCTCATCGTCTGTTCTCAGCTGAGGACTGAGGCCACACCACCCCTCCCGCCCCGTGCACCTGGCGAGCATGAATCAAGTGCTCCTTAGGGGGCTGGAGTGAGGTCAGAGCAGCGGGGTGATGGTGATGACGAAGGGGTGTGTGTGTGTGTGTGTGTGTGTGTGTGTGTGTGTGTGTGTGTGTGTGAAGTGAGCTCACTGGCCCAGATTTACCAAGCTGACAGACTCGGACTAAACAGGGGTGGGGGGAGTCATCAGCCATTCCTCTGAACAACTGCATCACACACACACATATACACACACACACACACACACACACACACACACACACACACACACACACACACACACACACACATAACTCTTAAATGAATGAATTACTGAGAGTAAATATTAATTTCCACCAATTTCAAACAACTGAAATTTTAAGTTTAAAGCAACAATCAAAAGTTGTCATGTGGCTTTAACTGTCGTCTTCATTTTGTTATTGATAGGTAGTGTGTGTGTGTGTGTGTGTGTGTGTGTGTGTGTGTGTGTGTGTGTGTGTGTGAGTGCGCTTCAATTATTTCAGGGACGTCTACTTTTAGCGTCCAGCTGGGACGGGGCCGTCAGAGCAGGGCCCAGTAGGCCAGGACGCCTAATTACAGCCTGGCGTCCCACAGCCCTGCCCTCCTTATCAAAACATGGAGTCACCGCAACGCCGCCTCAACCCCGCCTTACTGATACACACCGACTCTCCAGGTGAACAGGCTGACCTTTGACCTCCTGGCTACAACTAGAGTGTGTGTGAAACGTGTGTTTTCCAGTCCGTCAGCACAGTGGCGTGTTAACACAAAAAAAAAAAACCTCAGGGT